GCGCACTTTCGTCGGACTTTTCAGCCCCTGCCCCCGGTCCCGTGCGCCCTTTCCATTTGCCCCTGCCTTGCCACCGTTTCGATTTCGACCAAAACCCGTTCCGACCAAAACCCAAAGCTTGGTCCCACCGGCAGCTACCGGTCCCTCATTTTTCAGACAAACTGCCAGCCCCCCCCAAAGTGCCATACCTGCACCTTCAGCTACCGGTCCCTCATTTTTCAGACAAACTGCCACCCCCCCCCAAAGTGCCATACCTGCACCTTCTTGCATTTTTCGAGCCTTCCAACGACCAAACGATCCGTAATGAACGACCGGTATAATGAAGGACGACGAAAACATGTCTCCATGTCTCAAAGGGGGAATAACGCACCCCTGACGGGCTGCGAACAACTTGCTCCGTCTTTGTAATTGGGACGCTGGACCCGGTTTCCAGCTGGCGCAGCTCCCCGCCAATAAGATTGGAGCCAACTAAAAAAAAAAAAGAGAAAGAAAAAGGAAAATGGGCCACGGTACGGATGCCGTGCTGGAGAGGCACGTCAACCCTTCCAGACACAAAATAGCAAAAGAAAAGAAAAAAGAACTGAGGCCCATGGGGCTGCGTTTGACCAACAGATTCGGAAGAAATGGCCGAAGACGAAAAATCCGGGGCTAGGTCCCACTTGCACGAAATAAGAGATACCGACCGTAGATAGCAAAGATCAACGGATGAAGTCTCCTAATTTGCGCAAGTGGGACCTTGCTCCCGGGTAGAGTGGGACCTCACCTGTGCACTGGTCCGCCTGCGCTCGTCCGGAATTTGTCACATATTGTCGTCGCCCGTCAGACCAGGATGGTCAACTTGCGGCCGCTCAAATCGCCAGACAGCGTACAGTGTACCCGTGATCCTGCTACGGCTGAGCGGCGCTACGGAGCCCCCACTATCCGCCAGTCCGCTACCGGGGGCTGGCTGAGGTTACTTGTGAGCAGCCCTGTGCCCAGCATGGGTTTCCAGGAAAATGGGCTCGCAAACGAGGACGTGGCGGGGATTGGTTAGCAGGATTGATTCTGTGATTCAGAAATCACAGAAGCCTGCTCGACGAGGGGAGAGCAAGGTCAGCGGGCTTTCAAATTGGATTCTCCTTGAGCGCCAAATCATTCGTGTGTACTGCGCATCGTCAGGGGAGAGCAAGGTCAGCGGGCTTTCAAATGACATTCGAATCGAATAGAGCGTTGGCAATGGGCGGGAAAGGTTTGATTAGACCGTGGCGCGCGCGTCTTGTGAACCGTTGCATGGACTTTTTTCGACGAGATCTCCTGCAACCGCTGCATGGGAACGTTCTTGATTTGACGAGTTCTAGGAGTGGCGGATGCTGTCGAGAGCTCATGGATGACTGCGTGGCGCGGCGCGGCGCGGCGCGGCGCCGTGAAGAGTGATAGAAGGACTGTTGCCATGGGAGCTCAACGCGCGATGCTCATGACTCGTTGATTGAGCAGTGCGAACGGTGAGGACCACATCGCGGGGGCAAGATCCCATGTTAGGGCTTTAATCTAGGATGCCGTGGAACGTTTCAATTCTACGACACAGCTGCGTGACAAATGACATGAAATGGTTCGTTTGTTTGTTTCCTTTTGATGAAATTTGAAAAAGACATGAAATGTTTGGCAAACGTTTAACACCAACAAATGGTGAGGGATGGTCGCGAATGCGCGGGGAAAGGAAAGGTTTTCGCGCAATCCTCAAGGGCTGAGGCTTCTAGACGTCTTGTCCGGCTGTGCTGACAGTGAATGCGGGCAGCAGATTTGCGCGATCCGCCTGCCTTGTGAGCAAATTGTCCTCCCGCCAGTAAGACATATAGCAGCTTGCCTGCCGCGTAAACAACTCGTACTTCCGCCAATCAGACATAGCTTGCCTGCCTTGTGACATAGCTTGTCCGGCCTAATTACAGGAGCAAGGTCAGGTCTGGTGAAGATGACGGCGTATAGCTGTTCGGAAAAGAGTGCATGCGTGAGAGAAGATGGCCGTACGATGGTCGTGCTAAGCAGATGACCGTCGTGCACTGGAGCTATGGCGGGCTCCTTGGACTCGGTTTAACATGAACCGTCTAAAGAGATGCGATGGCGGCTTCGCTGAAGGGCTTTTCAAAGGCGATGGCTGCAGCATTGCGATCCACGGCACCTGTTTGCGTGGTGGCATCCAGGCGTCATCGTCTCCACGTGGCGCACGCAATGCAACTGCGAGCAAGAAGTGGGATGCACATCCGTTCCGCGGGGTCGCTATGGTTCTCAGGTGGAGGACAAACAGCGACCGAACTCCACCATCCGCTGCGTCGCCATCTCCATCTCCATTTCCATCATCATCATCATCATCATCATCAGTGGCATCATCGAGCAAACAATCCAGCTCAAAGCACTTCTGTTCTTGGCGGGTTTGGTCTCCAATTGTGTGGTGTAGCTTCCTTGGTTCTGCGATCTGTTTTCGAAACGCTGCTGCGATCGTCGGCTGCGACACGTCATCTTTTTCGTCCTGGAGCGGTTCCTCTTGAAAATACCTTTATTTGCGCCGGCGGCGACTCCGCTTGTACTGCTATCCCGGCCCCTTCCACCGTCAGCGGTCTCATTTCCGAAAGGGGCAGTAGAACTAGACATGGCAGACAATTTGGCTCGCAATCGGGAGGGTCGGTCTTCATGGACGGCTGGAAAAGTCTCTCGCAAGCCAAAGCTCGCAACGACGACGGCTTCTGTAGGCACGTTATGGTCATGCAGTCTCCCTGCCGTGCCCACGGAGCCGCCATCTCCGCTGCCGGACCTCGTGAGACGTCCACGTGCTCTTGCCCCTTCTCTGTCGCTTCCAGTCCAGGACTTGCGGCGTGGCGCCGCGTCGTCTACAGGGGACGAGAACAGGAGAGCGAGAAAGCGATCCCGAACCACGCGGGGAGGACTGCAAGAGGAGGGGCGGCAGCCAAGAGGGCTGATCTCGACTGCGTTGGTGGAGAACGGGATGGGCCGCGATCACGAGGGGCGAGTGCCAGCGAAGCTGCCACGAGTGCGCCCTGCGAAACGCTCGGCGCGAAAGGGAGGAAGGGAGGGGATGAAGGCCGTTCCACGCAGCTTGTCGTGCGGCAGAAAGGAAATGAGAGCGAGAAGGAAAGCGGTCATCCGCTGCAGCAGCAGCAGCAGCAACAGCAGCAAGAGCAGCAATCTCAGCTCCAGGGGAAGAAGAGGTCGACGTCAAATGTTGACGTCGTCATCCTGCAGCGAGCGGAGGAGTATGATCAGTCCGAGGGTAGTGATAGGCAAAGCAGGAGCAGCGGGAGGAGGAGAAGGGGGAGCAGACGAGTCCTCGGCGCGGTTGCGGCTTGGCGCCGGCCGTGGTGGCGACGTCGCATTGAACAGGAAACGAGGGAGCGTGAGCGCGATACCGGGAACAGCCTGTAGTACTTACGTGACTTCTCCTCAGCACGATGATCATCAGACCTCATCATCGTCCGCGAGGAATCCTCCGGCTGCGCCTCCTCTTGTGACTCCTTCGATAGACTGTCGCTCAGCCGTTTCGGAGGATACCCTCTTCCCGTCAACAGTTCGTTGCGCTGCTACTTCTGCTGGGGATCACAGCAGCTTGCGCTTTTTCCATGAGGGAGTAGACTTGCCGTCTCCATCCGATCTCGCTCTCCCTCTTCCAGCGGGTCATGCAAGCTCTGGCGATGCCGGCTATGGCGATCCTATGGTTTTGGAGGCGGGAGAAAGCGCTACCTCTGCACCTTTTTCTAGGCTGCAGGGCGAATCGTGCTCCACTCTACAGTCACTGCTGACGTCGGAGAGCGCAGGGGAACATGGGGATGCAACCAGTAGTTGCACGGAGGCCGACGCTAAGCGTAGCAGTATTGGGGGGCAGGACGCAAGAAGCGGAGGCGATGCGCCTGGTCAATGGCGCAAACGGCGGAGGCAAGCGCATCGGAAGCAAAAGCAGAAGAAGCTACGCGTTGACGAAAGCTCTCGCGCTGGAAAACACGATAATAGAGACAGCGCGGGGGGCCGCAAGGGTCGATTACCCGGCTGCGGGCGTGTGCACGTCTGTCGACCGCTGGCCGCCGCTGTGGAGGCTTCACTGCCGCTCATTCCGCGCCGGCGACCTCAGGACACTCCGCGCGCAGTTCTCACGGAAGGCGACTCGAAGTTTCCCTCCCATATTTGTCGCGTAACGTCTTTTCCACGCCTTCATCGACACCGTCTTGGTCCCTCCGCTCTCTTTTGGCGTTCTTTGACAGCGCAAGGGCGCGACTTCGACCTCTCGCGGTTGTTTCCTGTTCCTCGCAAATGGATGGGGCATGTTGACGATTCTACGCTCGTGAGACGTTTCGATAGTGCTGAGCGTTCGTCCAGAACTGACGAATCTTGCAGCGGCATTGTCAGTGCCGATCGAAACGAAAATGAGGAGGTGCTGGGAAGTGTACGTGAAGGAAGCCATCCGACGGCACGATCACGACCATCGCAGTCACCTCTGGTGCTGCCAACCTGTCCTGTGCCTTCGCCGGCATTCTCATCGCTGTCAGCCTGTTCGGATAAAGTGAGCGATAACAGGAACGAGTTGGATAATAGAGATGGGGGTGCAGCGAAAGACCATGACGAGCCGCGTGCTTCCCCTCCTCGCTCTGCCCCCCCACCTCCTCCAGAGCATCATCATGTTTGTCATCCACGTGGAGCCGCTCCTGGCCCTGGCGTGCAACGGCATTACCTGGGGATGTTGCCGAACGTGGCGCCTGATCAGTCAAGTACGCTGGCAGGACCGGAATCGATGTCGTCGGAGGGCCAGTCTAGCAACTTGGGAACAAACGACGGTTCGCTGGCCTCAAGGAGGAAGGGAAAGGAACCTGAAGCAGTGTCTAGGAGAGGGAGAGAAGGCGGTGGTGCTGATGATGGTGGCGATCCCCGTGAGTTCCACGGAGATCACCGACTGCGGCCCGCAATGATTGGAGGATATGAACCGCGAGAAGAATGCGCAACAGAGGGAGAGAGGGGAGGAGGAGGAGGAGGAGGAGGAGGAGGAGGAGGAGGAGGAGGAGGAGGAGGTGAACCTCCATCTTCATCCTTATCTAGAGCTATGAACGGTGGAGCAGTTCTCGTGGAAAAGCTTCCTCTTTTAGAGCGAGAGTCTCCTGGTCGCGATTTCAAGGCAAGGTGTTCCAGAAAATGTTCTCGCAGGGGCTCGCCCACTGGTAAAGGAGGGAACATCACTCCCGTCATCGCTCGCGCCAAAACGGCTACCGCTCTCACAGTGCGGAGGGTATTCATTGGTAATTTCCGGCCATTGGTGCCGTTGAACAAGATCAAGCTCAGTTCAGCAGCCGCTCGCATCGCAAAGGAGCCAAACGCAGGGGGAGCCTCGACAATCTCGGAGGTACGTTGACCTTCCGCTCTCACTTTTCCTTAGAAAAAGAGGTAATAAAAAGTCGAATCTCAACAGATTGTTACGACAAGGCCATTCTCGGTTTTCATCCTTATGTCTCACTTGCATTCGACCAGTGGTAGTGGGAAAAGATGGGAAAGAACAACAATGTTCCTTTTTTTTCTCCCCTTCTTTCCCTTTAAAAAAACCCATAAAGGCTCCAATCTATTCGCGGGGAGCAGGACAAGGTGAGAAATTGGCCATGTGTAATACGTAAGTTTGTGTATGTGCACTTGCGAGCAGCCGTCCTTTGAAGATGATGACAAGGCTACTCTGAAGATTGAAGAGCTGCGTTTGCAACAGGCTGACGTGGCGCTGGTACCGCTGATAAAAAAAAAGTAAAAAAGTTTGTGTATGTGTTTGCAACTTTGCACACCTACGTTTATGCGTTCATATGTAGTTGACAGTCTGTGTACGAAGCGTTCGTGGCTGGTCCTCCTCTCTCCCTACCACAACTCCTCCTGGGCGTGATATTCTGCGTTACATGGTCTTTTTGCGAAAAAAAGGATATACAAGTCCTTCGGGACATCCGTTAAAATTGGAACGATACAGAGAAGAAAAGATTAGCATGGCCCCTGCGCAAGGATGACACGCATAAATCGAGAAATGGTCCAATTTTTTTTTTTTTTTAAGAAAAAAAAGGCTATATAACCTGCCTACAGTTTCGATTACCCACTGTCCTGGCGGAAGGAAGTTGTCGTCCTAGGTGCTTTTGTTTTCCTTTGACATTCTTTGAGGGTAGAACCTTGAACATGAATTTAGCAGGAGTGTTTGAATGCTCAACCCATTTTCCTTTGAACATTCTTTGAGGGTAGAACCTTGAACATGAATTTAGCAGGAGGGTTTGAATGCTCAACCCATTAACCGAGAGGGTGTTAGGATGAGACTCTGGGTACAAAAGCAATTTCGCCCTGTAATACGTTGCTCTATTCTTAGCTTTGTGGAAAAAGACGAGTCTTGGCACGATTGCAGTTTGAGGACTCTGCACTTCTCTGAGAAAAATGCTGTGTTTTTGAGCTGATTGCTGAGAATTCCTAGTCTGAGTCTGTTTGCTGCGTTTTGTGCATATGTGTATGACATGCCGATGATGTATGTATGCCGTTTGCTTGCCTGCTGCTGAAGTTCTGGGTCCGAGTCCGATTCCCCGCCCTATTTCCGTTGGCGATGCTGTGTGTCTGTGCCTTGGACAGTGATACAGGGCAGAGCAGAAAGCTAGGTTCCAGTAGGAACATACTGAGGTTAGCGGGACGGCAAGGGGCATATAAAGGATTTGTTAGGGATTCGGTGGGTATATTCCAATAAGTCTGGTAGGCCTAGAAGGGTCCGGTAGCTGTCTGGCAGGTCATGATAGGCAGGCCCGAATGTAGATAGCATGGAGAGGTATAGTCATGCCAGGCATGTAGATATTAGTCTGCAGTGATGTTCCCGCGAAAAGCAAGGCATATCCGGTAGTGCACCCAAGGGAGGCCAGTAGAGCAAGAATTGCCTGGTGAAGATGTACTGGAGGCTGGGCAACAACGCTTCAATGAGTAACCCGCTGATTCACCCGGCAGTCCTGATGCCACTTTGTGGAGATGGAGACTGAGGCGCAGCACTTGGAGGGTGAAGGAGGAGGTGAGGGTGAGGAAGGCGTCCTCTACGGCTATGGAGTAGTAGTGGCAGGTAGGAGAAGGCCTTAGCTATGGTGGTAGAGGGAGGAACTCTTCCATTCGAGTTGTGGAGGTGAGTAGAGGTTGAAGGAGGCGGAACGAGAAAGGAACCGACAAGGACACTAACCTTTGGTGGCTATGGTGAACCTTCTTCATCTTCCTGATTGGCGCCTCATTGGGATACCGATCGGACATGAACTCAATTCCGGAGGTTGGCTATGGCTGTAGCGGATTGGAGCCCTTTTGAACATCTGTGCTATGGCATGGATGAGCTGTCGTGGCTACTAGCCATAGCCATAGCAAGTGGAGAGTAGACGGAGAGGAAGCTAAAGGTGGCAGTAAGGGGATCATTCTGCATCTTGTTTATTCAGTCTTATTACTGCAATTAATTATTACCACTTTGACTACTTAACTTTGAACTAATGTGAACCGATTTAGGCAAACGAATTTCCACTTGGTCAGTTATGGAAGCATATTCATCATTTCGGCTCATTATGCTAACCGATTTCTTTTTTTTTTATTTCAGCATTGGCTAGAGGTAAGGAGAAACGATGAGCATTTCAACATACGGATTTAACAATTTAGATGCACTATGAAATTAGAGAGAATGATTTTACAAATTCGTACTGCCAAGACCAATTTTGTCCAATAATCAACCGATTTCAGAGTCTACACAGACCATTCCGTCGGGCAAAAATACCAAAGTAGTCAAGCAGTTCGATTAGCTTTGCCGAAGTTTCGTGAGACCTCTTTTTTTTTTTCTTTTTTTTTTTTCTTCTTCTTCTTCAGGAAAAGCAGCGACTAGTACTAGAGGGAGTGATAAGAGCAGCTGCCTCTACTAGCTGTCCCTGACTACTCCATCTAATGGTGGGGAGCTGCACCTGCTGGAAACCGGGTCCAGCGTCCCTGTATAACAAGATCATCCACAAGAATAGTTCGAGAACAGTCCGCCAGCATTGATTACCCCAGGATACCCAGGGGGATTGACTGAGCGGATAGGAAGGTTGTGGAGACAGAAGTGCCTCTTCACCCTTTGAGCAAGGCGCCTGGTGTGTCTAGCATCTTCCATTGCCATGAGTGTATGGATAGTATCCTTTGTGTAAAATGAGTAGAGCTTAAGATCCTTTTGCTGGTAGCTGCTGTCCATTTCTTCAGTTACTTCTTGGCCAAGCTCTGATCTTCATAATCTCCTGCCAATGTCCGCTTGGTTCCGGTGTTGAAGCTGTTCCTCCCTGGGAGGCACCGGGGGTGGATGCATGGGTCTTGTCTGTAGCAGCAGCTGTGCTCACTTCTGAATTTCCGCCAATGAGAGGGGGTGAGGTGGGAAGGGATCAGGGAAATCAGATGGGGGTCTCATTGGGAAGGAGGGTTGAACAGTAGTCTAGTCTTTGAATACTAAATGGTAGTCCCTGGGTGGGTCCTGTTTTATCAAGTCTGCCGGGTCCTACATTCTACCTGAGCTATCCATCCCTCCCGCTGATCCCCTAGCCAGTCTAAGCAGAATGCTGTAATTGTCTGCTTGATATCCTGCTTAGTCTGAAGGATGTCAAGTCGTGATTTAAGAGCTTGCCATTTACGCATCAGTTCCAGCTGGACAAGCTCCTTCACTTGCCCCGTTAACTCAGACCCCTGTATCATCATCCCTTCCATCACCAGGAGGCAGCGCCGCCACCAAAGGGCCCAAAGGATTGACCTTCTTCCTAGACTGTACAGGTTGCTTGTGAAATTGGTGGAGGCCGCCATTGATGGGCAATGTCCTGTTAATATGGACTGCCAGGACCATATGCAGTCCCACCATTGCCATGTGAACAGTGCCACCGGACATTGCATGAAGATGTGTTTGATGGTCTCTTCCCGCTTTCGTGAGGGAAAGGCGCTTGTGCACCTTTGGCACCATGAGAGTGCCTTCCCTTTTTGCTCCAGGTGGGTGTGGTCGATTAACCAGGCATTTGTCGGTAGGCAGCGATGTACAATCTGCCATTGTAGAGACGTGACCTTGGCCAGTTTGACTTTGCCCTCTTGGAACCATTTGATCGGCGTGAGGAGGGCATGGTTGACGTTAAGGTGTCTGGCCCACCTGTCAATCCATCCGTGGCACATCTCGGGAGTGATCCAAAGTTTCGTGAGACTTCTCTAATCCATCCATGGCACATCTCGGCAGTGATCCTCCGCAGTGATCCTCGGCAGTGATCCTCGGCAGTAATCCTCAAAAGTCCCCGGCTGATTGCATCAATCAGATTCCCCTTCCCCCCAAGTTCCTCACGAGAAACAGGATTCTGCGGTTGTACCTGCCGCAGACGTGCAGAAGTGTGCACACGTGCAGGACAGGTGAGGTACGCACAAGGCGAGGCAGGAGGCACGTGAACACCTTGATGCAGTAGGCAGGTGATGCAGGAGGCACGTGATGCAGGAGGCATGATTTCCAGTGGGCCCCACCATTTTATCCATTCGTCGGGCTA